TCCCAAAGTCTTTCAGTCAACCAATGTTTGCCAAGCACCTACAATGCATTGTGCTCTCCGCTAAGAAAGGGCTGGGTGAGCAGGAAACATCCAAGCCCAGGACGAGGCTGATGATGTCTGCAGCCAGCCTCCTGGCACTCTCTACAAAACGAAAACTGGAGGACTGAAGAGAAGACAATCGGAAAGAATCTTCTATTGATGCTGGTGCTGGGCTTGGCAGCTGCCCTTGAGCAAAAATAAACTCTTCATGGCAGTGGGACAAGATGCAGATATTGGCACCTGCCAGAGGCAAACAGCCGAAGTCGCAGCTGCGCTGGTCAAATGAGCTTGGGGACCTGAGGGGGCTGAGACCTCAGTGACTATTTGTGGCTGTGGTTCTCAGCAGGCAGCTTATTGAAACAGGGCTGGTGCGCCTTCCCCACCCCTCCAGGCTGGGTCTCAGAGCAACCGCAAGTGCAGGTGGCACATCCCGCTGAACAGCCACCCCGTGTTGTCTCTAGGAGGGAGGGGAGCTCACAGAGAACAACGAAGGGCTTCCTGGCGAGTATGCAGCAGACAGGACAGTCCTAAAGCTAAGAGGGCGCTCAGGGAGGGTTATGTAGACAAGCTCCCTACTTGGGGTTTTAGCATCATCTTCAGATCTGTTGGCTCCTGAGAGAGGTGTCTGCCTCTTCTAAAAGCCAGGCTAAGTGTAAAGCCGGCATCTGATGGAACCAGAATTCATTTGGGTAAGGCGGCCTTCAGAGTGCTTAGAATAAAGAACTGAAGGGAAGGAACAATGTTAAATACAGGATGGGGGGACATTGATAATATGAAAGAGAACTGAATCCTCTAGTATCTTAAGAAGACAAAAGCCTTGCAAAAAAGCCCATTGAATACGTCCCAGGACGGAGGCAGGGGAACCCCAGATTAAGGCCTCTCCGTGAAAAGGTGTTTCAGAGGTAGGGTTCTCACAAAGAATTCTAGACAACAGGCTAAACGAATGATCACTTGAGAAGAAAAGCTGTGTCAAAAGTCAAGAGTTGTGAGATGGATGCCTGAGATGCCTATCTAAGGGATAAGAGAAAAATGTAGCTTCCAAGAGTATCCAACCGAATCCCCAGCTATTTCATTACATTTTAGAATTTCTAAAATGTATGCCTCCTGGCATCCAGATGTGAGCTCTGGCTTCCAGCTTGCAAAGGATCTAGCTCTTTGGTTTGGGGATCAGTAAGGAGCCTCCACAGACTGTATGATCCATTCACCTGGGACAGGCACCTTCTTGTTACACCTTGATTCAGCCTCATTTCTCAGAAGTCACTGTGCAGCCAGCCCTTCTGCTGGAACTGTGCCTGGGTCAGTGGTAAGTCACTTGCCTCTGTAGTCATTGCTTTTCCATCTTTCTAGAAAAATACCAAGGTCCCTGCTCTTTACTTATGATGACCCCAGAAAACGGAGGTCATAAAGTCTCATTTGATACCAAAAGAGTGAGCAACAAAGATCACCAGGGCATGAATCCAGAAGACGAAAGACAGAGTGGAAGAAGAATTAGAAAACGAGAATTCATTTATGCAGCCCTTGCCCAGCCCACGGCTTATTGATTCAACTAAAGCCATGCATGTCTGACTACATGAATGAAAACTTATTCTCCAAAAGACAGCTCCTCCAAGGCCACTCTTTTGTAAATAATAACAACAGAAATACATTTTAAGATGGATCCCAAGAAAAGAATTTGCTAATTATATCAACTCCCACTGCTCTTACATCTCTTCCCCCCGAGTATTTTACACTGACTCAGAGATGCTTCCGTTCTCCCACTGTCCTAGTTCAGCAGATGGAGTGCTGGGAGAGGCACGTGGGAAATGGGAGGCAAGCATAGACGACCCACCCTCGGAGCACATGCAGGACGGGAGCATCTTCATACCGACCAACTCTCAGGCCACGGCCGCCCTGGAGGAGCCCTGTCTTGTATCTGATGAACTCAGAGACCCAACTTCTAATGTATTTTTTGCTTCAGGATACAGATTTGTAAAAAAAAATACTTCATTCACACTGTCAATATAGTTTGTTATACTTAATGAAAAATAATCTATGTATTTTTCAACTTATATTTCTATTAGAGGTTTGGAAAAACTCTGATATGGAAAAATAATTACTCAGTTGGCATTCAGCCACCCCTTTCTCTATTGTGCACTCCTTTATGTGCTGTATTCAGAAGACACTCAAACATAGGTGGTCAGAGATACTCAGCGTCAACGTGGAATAAATGTGCTTCTAATTGGTTTGGCAAAATTGCCATCTTCTTTCTCTCTTGCATCAGTAGGGCATGGCTAGACTTGATTGGGGAAGCTATGTTCTATGTGGACATGAATGACAATCATTGTTTTATTAAAACCAACTAGAACAAGATGCTTTCTATGAAAGGCCCAAACCTTGGAGATAGCCCGTAAGTTGGGATTGAAGGACAGGAAGTCGGGAACTAACTAGTTTTGCTTTCTTAGCCCTCCAAAGAGGAAGTCAGACAGATGAAGGACTGGAATCACTGGCCTCCTCCAGTCTTGGTGCAAATGACAGTGTCTTGGGTCACCATGTCACACTGACACCACACTGAATGGCAGACACACTTGCTTGCCAGGATCTTATAGGACCCTCTCTAATGTGTTGCCACTGAATAGCCTTCCCCTTGTTTATTTAATAAGCAGTTTATTTTCAAATTGAGGATTTGGTAACTCTAATATGCTTTTACTTCTGAAGAAAAATGAGATCTTTGTTGATGATAGATGAGGCTTCTCCAAATGTAATTTGTGTGTTGCACGTCCATGGCCTCATCACTGAAGGCTCCCCTTGTTAGTGCTGATAACTCCCATTTCCTCTCTGGTCATCTGAAGCTAATTAGAGTGGCTGTTTAGTGCAGAAATAATCAATAGCTTTCTTCAGTGGCTCGCACAGAATTAAACCCATATGTAATTAGTCTGGTGAAGATACATAGAGATACCTTAATTACAACAAAATATGCTGTGTCACAGAGACGCTCTCACAGATGACTAGCATCCCAGACATTTTGACACACTCAATGTGTTTATTCAAAGTAAGAGTCTTTACGAAACTTTTCACTGATCAAATACAGTTGGGTGTTTGATGAATTTCCCTTCAAAACATTTTGAAGTGAAAAAAAGTTGGTACTTAGTATTACACATTTGTGTTTATTAACATTTGACTATAAATGCACTTCAAACACCAATAGAGCTAAAAGACTAGGCCTTTATCTTGGATTTAATAGATTTTTCTCTCAGTAATTTGATTAATTCTTACAAGGAAAATATCAGTGGGCAAAGGGGATCAGCATGAAATGTGCATCGTGGTCCCCCCTCCGACCCCTCTACTGATGTGGGAAGAAAGCCAGTGCTCCCAGCACTCTACTCAAGTGTCATCTCCTCTCTCGATCCAGTTTAAGGGAAACAAGACACTAGTACTCGGTCTTTGTAGAGTCTGCATCTTGCCACCTGAAACCAGACTTCAAAAGTGCACTTTAGGGTAAATTCCTTTAAGGAAGAGAACAAGGGAAGATGGTGTGTGGCTAACACAACTGCGAAAGCACCAGCTGTGTAATCAGCGTGCTGTTTCTGGTCGTTGATCTGAGCTGACCAACTCATCTCCACCTAAAGTCGACCTCTTGATCCACGAACCTTCTTTCTTTTCTGCATAATCACAATCTGTCATGGAGGACACGCAACAAGATACAAGCAGATTCTTAATGATCTTTAGGCCAAACTTCTCTACGATAGTGACCATGCCATCATGGTTAGAAGTAATGACAACCCTTAGGAAAGAATGGGGGACCCTGGGACGGATCTGCTTAGAAAGAGAGGGTGGCACACGCCCTCTCCCACCCGAGTCAAGGCCGTCATTATCAGGCAACATGGAAACCAGGTACTGGGTGTGTTGACTGGAAAGGGTGCCAGTACACGTCACAGAACATTTACAGATGGCCCCCAGTTTCCTCACAGGTATACATACACACTTGCATTTCAAGAAATGATAAAAGACCTAAAGCCGGGGCTGCCCTTTCTCCTCCTGCCTGTCCACAGTAACGCGATGCAGAGCCATCTGCCTCAGCACAAGGCCCCTCAGAGTCTGCTTGTGACGAGTTGTATTTATGGAGTTAATATTGGACGTAATACTACTTAATGAAAGGAAAAGAAGCTCTGTGTATTTTGTATTAAACCATCAGTAAAAAAATGAAGAGAAATCGGTACTTTCAAAATATAGAGAGCCAATAGTTGAAATCACTCAGTAGTAAAATTTTTTTCTACATATAACCTCATATGTGTAAAGAGTATTAGAGTGACGTCAGCTATATTTGACTCATGTTAGTTTAAGGGCTTCTCGCTCAGGTAAGGCTTAGGAGAATGTCATTCAATGATCAAAATACTGTGGTGTTTCAAGCCCTCTTTCGCTGTCTCTTTGACTACGAGACAGACACGTTTGGATATGACAGGTGTTTTCCATTTTCTGGAGAGCGTAGAACTGTTTACAGTATGGAAACTTCAGTGAGGAAAGTGCTAGGACATACAGAAAGGTGAACATCAGTATAACTGATGAAACTCTTCACTTGGTGACAAAAAAAAGCTTGATGTCCACATTAGACTGCAGTTTATGTTGTTAGAAATCAAAGCCATTGCGTGAGAGATGGAAGATTCTTTAGAAATACCAACTCATTCTCTAGCTAGGGAAGGCCAGAGTTCAAGTGGTTCAAATCATCAACATCATCACCCCAGCTTGCTTCACCACCCAGTTTACACACTGTCCCTTTAGAATACAGCATGGCCCAAAGCCTTCTGCATTTAGGATGTAGCACTGCATCGAATATTCCACAGAAGCCCCTAAGTATCACAAGAAGCTTTCTTAAAAAAAAAAAAAAAAAAAATTCCAGTTGGAGGAAACCATTTTAGCAGTGTCTCAACTGAGCTCCTAAAACTGGAATTTCAGATATACAAGAGGACAGGAAACAGATAACTTGGTTTTGTCTTTTTACATGTCCATGTTGTCTTGGAAGTGCAGCTACGATATCTCTGCCAAAGATAAAGACAATAGGGTGGACAGAGCTGTTACCACCAGAACCAGCAGTGGACTCAGACTGCAGCTGGGAGGAGCAGCCATTGATTTTGTGGTTATGTGGCTAGAAGCACCAGCGAGACCATCCTTTTCGTAATCACGCTGTAAGAAAGAACATTTTCATTATCACTCACTGCATGCATTTATTTTACCACAGTGCATTGCAACCACACTCTTACCCCCTCTCCATCCCCATTCCCAACTAGCTATAGCGCCTAGGATTTTTCCCACTGAATCTCCAATTCACTCACTTGTAGTTTTTATGGGAAGGGACCATGAACGTGGGTGAGAACTGGGTAATTTTGATAAACTGGCCAATGCTTCATGCTCTTCCATTGTGGGTTATTAAAATCCATTTGGGGGAAGAGATTTGAGCTCAGGTATTCTTGCCATTTCCACCATCACTCTGGAGACTCCCCAGTAGCTGTGTAAATGGAGCACTTTTCCTCTGGGCACCACTGACTGAGGAGGAATGCTCCTTGTCTCCCCTCATCAGGGAAGAAGGGCAGGGAATGTCCTCTCAGAAAACCTGTCGAGTCAAGCCATGGCTCATGCCAAGATGTGTCTCTAACTGCATCAGAGCTGGACAGGCAGTAACCTTTCCCTCCATCCACCAGCTCAACCCTAGGAGTCAGAGAGGGCAAGGAGTTCTCTCTGCTCATCAGTGGGAAAGACAAAGCCTTGAGCCAGGTTCCCAGAGTCACAGCAAGCACAGCTGTTCTTCCTGGGAAGACTTCTCTCTCCTTATTCCCATCTCAGTCACCTAGGGTCTCATCGTCACACAATCAACCATCACACAACAGAATGGTCCATCTCCTCACCTGTAAATAAGGGAGAGGAATCTGACCTGCCCCGTCTACCTCTGAGTGGCTGTAGAGAGAGAGTCAAAGGGACTGTGGCTAGAGGACATGTGGGTTGACAATGAGAGTGGTGGGTTGGTTATCTTCTCTGTATTGGTGACTGTGAGCAGAGTCCATGGCATTGCCACCATGGCATTAGTGCTGGGCCAGCTCAGAGGTGAAGGTGCTGGTTCCACACTTGGTTCTGACTGTGGCTCTGTGCTCTGAAGTCTGAACCTTGCTTAAGGGGCAGAGGGACTGACAGATAAGTGGAATGGTGCAGCTTCTTTCTGAACCTAAAACCTAATTTCTCTGAGCCCTTTATGCCATGCCCCAGTGGCACAAAGGCTGTCTTTGTAAATGCGGGGAGACCCAGAAAGAAACATAACTTACATCAGAAAGACAGAGGTGTGTGCTGCCCGAGACATTGGATTTCAGCTTCTGTGCCTGAGGAGAGACAAAAAGGAAGACCAAAACCTCATGAGTATAAAGTAGAAGGGGAATTAATGATGACCCATTAATCAACTGTGAGAGCAGCTCTATCCAAAGGAGAGATGTGAGTCACAACTATAACCCCATAATAAGGTGAAATTTCTAGTAGCCATGTAAGTCAAGAGACAACAGGTAAAGTTAATTTTTAACAATAAATTTTATTTAACCTAAAAAAACCCAAAAAAACCCAAACTCACTGCCATTGAGTCGAATCTGACTCATAGCAACCTCTCCTTGGGTTTCCAAGATGGTATCACTATGGAAGTAGATTGCCCAATCTTCCTTCCAAGGAGTGGCTGGTGGGTTTGAACTACCAGCCTTCTGGTTAGCAGTCACAGTCAAATGCCTTAGGCACTATGCTACCAGAGCTCCTAATATGTTATAATTTCAACATGCAATCAATATAAAATTTATTAATGCACTAACTCACATTCTTTTTTAATATTAAGTCCTCAAAATAAAAATGTGTTTGCCATAGTCCATCACAGTCAGGTAGACCAGCCCCATTTCAAGGCTAGTGGCTACCCCAGGGGCAGCAGGACTAGGTTACTAAAGAGAAAGGTTTTTTTTTTTGGGGGGGGGTTTGAAAGTTTACAGAGCAAATTCATTTTCCATTCACATTTTGATTCATGCATTGACTACAATTCCCCACAAAGTAACGGCTCTCTTCTCACTTCCTCCCTGTAGTTACCTCTTCCCTGTGTCCTTCTTTCCTATGTATTCTTCCCCCCTGAGCTATTTCCATGTGCAAATACTGCCCTTCTGTTCCCCCACGATTGATCATTCTAAGAAGTGTATCTACTTGACGCAAATGTTCATCCTATATGCCTGTCTTTTGTTTGGCTGGAAGCCACAGGAGTGAGTTCAGTTCCAGACCTGAAGGGTAACTAGAGACCACATAGTCTCAGGGATGTCACCACACTCTAACAGACTAGCAAACCTACTCTTTTTTTTTTTTTTTTAATGATTTTGAGTTTTGTTCTACATTGTTCTCCCACTCTATCTAGGATCTCCTGCACTGATCCCTTTTAAAAGTGTTTGACAGTGGTAGCCAGGCACCATCTAGTTCTTCTGGTCTCATGGTCATACAGGCTGAGGTTTGCATGGCCCACTAGTCTCTTGGACTACTTATTTCCACGCATCTTTGGTTTTCTTCATTCTTCTTTATTCTGGATGAGGAGAGACCCATCATTGCATCTAGATGGCTGCTTGCAAGCTTTTAAGACCCTAGTTGCTACTCACCGATTAGGCTTGATGTTCCTTGTGACCATGGTCCTGAGCCCACAGGTCCCCTCCCAGAAAAGTTTTTTTTTTTTAAAATGATCACTTATTTATATTTCTGAATGTTCATTTTTGAGAATTATCTCCTTCTAGGAAAATGTTGCAGTAAAAATCCCCACTTATTAGTAATACAGAGATAGGTCTTTCTGAAGTTAATTAGCTTGTTCATTGGTTGATTCATTGTTTCATTCAACAAACACTTACTAAGTGCCTATTATTTTCCCATACTGAGAATGCAGTGATGAACAAAGAGACATGGTTTCTGGGCTTAGGGGTCTCCTCTCTAGGGAGGTAAACCATTCACTGTTTGGAAACTAAGGCATAGGGACTCATTCAGATATATGGTTATTGTTGTTGTTGTTTTGCCATTGAGTCGGCCCCGTCTCATAGCGACCCCTCCTTGGGTTTCTGAGGCAGTATCACTACGGAAGTAGGATTGCCCAACCTTCCTTCCGAGGAGTGGCTGGTGGGTTTGAACCACCAGCCTTCTGGTGAGCAGTCAAGTGCCTTAGGCACTATGCTACCAGAGCTCCCTATTGTTGTTGTTAGGTGCCATCTACTTGGTCCAGACTCAGAGCAACCCTATGTATGATAGAACAAAACACTGCTCGGTCCTGCAGTACTCTTGAGGAATCGTGTGGGCATTGCAGATCTCCAACCCAGCAAATCAGAAACTGCTTCCAGGGTAGTTGTGAGGGGACAATCTGTGGATCAGTCCTATTTCCCCTCAAGAGAAATAACACCAGACTTCTGCTCCTTTTAGGTGAAGAAAAAAAACTACAATGAAAACACTTCTGAAGACTCCTGAACCAGTGCAACCTTCTTATTTTACAAAGGAAACAAATAGAAGTTAAGTGACATAGCCAAGGTCACCAAGCAATTGTAGAGCCAGAATACAGTCCAAGTTTCTTCATGGTTGAATGAAGATATGTGTTTTCCAGCATCAAGGGCCTTCTCTCAGGCAATCATGGGGTGTTCGACTCTTCATGCCCCACCCTTCCCAAAATCCATGCAAAGAACCCCTTGACAAGCCCCGAGATGGGAGCCCTTGGGTGGGCACTGTCAGACAGAGAGACCAGCAGGGTGACCCTGGTTAAGCATCACACCTGAATCAAGGAGTACCTGGGCATCCTGCTCTGTGTCAAGGACACCGGCCAGCTGCCTGTTGTAAGAAGACTTTTTTTGCTGCTAGTTGAAGACATGCTCGGCTGAAATGACAGCATGTTCACCCAAGGAGTAATTTATTGACCATAATGCAACTTGGGAGGCATCATAATCTTTACCTATATTTGCATATGCCAGCTGTGAATATGAAATGGAAACCTTTAAAACAGGCATCAGGAATAAGACACGGTAAAGCATCCTCGGGCTGTTAAAAGGTCACTAAATGTTATGGATAAGAAGATCAGAAGGGAAATTGGAAGAGGAATTGAACCTTACTCAAAAGTCTACTTTTAATCTATATTAATAGCAAATCGGGTCCATTGCATTGTTACCTACAGAGAATGTGTGGAACTTTACATGTTTTATTTCTCTTCAAGATTGGAATTGTGCCCAGTTACCAAAATGGCCCTAAAACATCCCATTCTGCCTTTTCTTTTCTAGGCCATAATCTGCAGAAGACATAAACCCTTGCTTAAGGCCTTTGAATAACTAATAAGTCCACTAAATTATGCAGAGAGGGGAGCATGGCTTCTAGAAGGGGATGCGGTATGACTTCATGGTGTGGCCACAGCCACATTGCACCTCCATGTCTCAGACGCAGTGGCCTACAAGAGCTCTCAGGGCCAGGCAGGCCTATCTCCCAGCTCTGTTCCATATGATTGGCACTGGCACATGGCACTCTGGTCTTGTATACCGAGTCTGCCATACTCACTAGCTACCCACCTTGGTCATACCAGGATACTAACTCGACAGTCCTCACCACCTACACATCTTTGTCATATCAGGAACCTGTTGCACATGCATCCATTGCCATCAAGTCAATTCCAACTCATAGGACCCTACAGGACAGAGTAGAACTGCGCCATAGGGTTTCCTAGGCTGAAACCTTTATAAAAGCAACTGCCCCATCTTTGTCTCCTGAAGCATCTGGTGGGTTTGAATCATTGACCTTTCAGTTAGCAGCTGAGCACTTAACCACTGTGCCACTGGAGCTCTGGAATCTGTTGAAGCACTAGCATGTGTGTCCACCATTATTAAATGACTGCTAAAGGGGTGTTCATACCAGCCTCAAAAATGCCTCTGTCTTAACAGGTTTTCTTCAGTGGACTCTCTATCTGCCTAAGTAGATTCCTGGCCCTTTCTGGTCACTGGAGTTTTCACACTATATACAGGACTGGTAAACATGCAACCTGGTAGACATGTATGCTCTTCCACTCAAAGTAGCAATGGTTAGAAAAGCTGTAGTTGACCATTGTGTCACTTGTCCTTGACTAAAGCTGGAGGCAGCAACCACTGAGCTCACCTTGGCCCTGAGGACCATTCTGGGTGGTGTAAGTGGGTGAACTTCTGGGTAAAAGCAATACTGTGCATCCAGGTCCCTACATGTGCTCTGTAGAACATACCTTCTCTCCTGTTGCACACCTTCCCGAAGCCACAGCAGCACTTAGCACTGCAGAGCCTTAGCAGGCCACACACAGAGGCCTTTAAACACTTTGCTGACACAGTGTGTCACAACATCTGCTGCAGGGAGCTCTGGGTGCCTAGGAAATCCCCATGACTGCAGAGCCCTAACCTATGCAGCTGCAGAGTCCCCCCTCACCTGGGCCCAGACCACAGTGAGGTCCATGAGACTGATTAGAAAGTGAAGGGGTGGATGTTACTGGCTACTGGAGTGGGGGTAGCATGTGGGTAACACCATCAAGGGTGTGCACACAAAGCCATGGTACATGTTACGAGATGAGGGCCTGAGTGGGTCAGCTGCCTAGGCTGAACTACGACAGAGCACGCCATGCTCACACTGGGCTCCAGGCTCCAATGGTGCACAAGCTGCAGATGGAAAGGCAGAGACTGGCACACACCCGGCTGGTTGTATGTTTATCAAGCCTATAAACAAACCTGTTTCTGCTGAGTTGATTCTAGCTCATGAGGACCTCTTGTGTTTATTCCACTGGGTTTCCAATGGCTGTGATCTTTTGGAAGAAGATTGCCAGGCCTTTCTTCTGCGGTCCCTCTGGGTAGAACTGAACTATCAGCCTTTCAGTAGCCAAGTGCATTAACTGCTTGTGCCATCCCAGGATTGCTTATGCAATCCTTCACATAATGTGAAACACCCAGGGACCAGTGAGGGTCTGAAATCTACCTAAGCAGAGGTAGTGCCCACTTAAGGAAATCTGGCTCTAAAAGCTCATTTTTGGAGCCTGATTTGTGTGTGTGTGTGGGGGGGAAGAAATCCACTGCTGTTAAGTCAATTCCACCTCTTAATGACTAAAACTAAACTCACTGCCAACAAGTTGATTCCAACTCATAGTGACTCCCTTTGGGTTTCTGAGGCAGTAAATCTTTACAGAAGTAGACTGCCCAGTCTTCCTTCTGTGGAGTGGCTGGTGGGTTTGAACCACCAACCTTCTGGTTAGCAGTCAAATGCCTTAGGAACTACACCACCAGAGCTCCTTTAATGACCCTATTAAAAACCAAACTCACTGCCATGGAGTCGGACCTGACTCATAGTG